TAGGACTTTTTCCTGAAAATTTATCTATGATGTTGGTTGGAGCCTTTTGGCTTTGATTCTGAATGTGTGCAGTAGTGTAGTCTCTATATGATTTATTTGCCTATAAACAACGTTAGTGGTATCTGTGATTTCCTCAGTGGCTTAGGGTCATTAGTGGAGGCTGTGGTGGAGATTTTCTGGGAAAAGGAATTGCAGGTAGGTCAGTCTTCAGGCCCAAGTGGTTGCAGCAGTAGGCTGAGTATACCTGTCCTTTAGCCCCCTGGCTGGTATATGCTGGCACTAGTGTTAGTTGTCCACTTGGGCCAATTATCAGGCCTCCACGTGTCTTGCCCAGATGCTGGTAATGGCCGTCATGAGCCAGGTGGGTAGACTGGTTTTCAGACCCCAGTGCAGAAAGCATGGTGTGGGCCATGGCAGTAGCAGTGGTAAGATGACCGTCTTATTCCTGAGCAGTGCACACTGGTGTTGGCAGTGGCCGTGATAGGCTGGGCAGACTCCTCACCAAGCTCCTAGATGGCACATGTGAGTGTGTGTTTGTGGTGTTGGCAGCAATGTGAGTGGACCCATCTTCAGGTTCCTAGAGAGAGTGAATAGATGGTATAGGTGGTGGAATGGATAGAATAATCACCAAGCCCTTGGGTGGTGTGCTCAGGCTTGGAGGTGTGGTGCCAATTTGGGAGTGTCTGTCCTCAGGCCCCTGATGGTGTGCAGGGGTATAGGCTGTAGTAGGCAGGTTGAGACAGTCCGTGATGGTAGGTGTGGATACATGACCTTAGGGCTTGTGCTAGGAAGCATAGTGGCCCTGTTGTTTGGATGAGTAGGTTGCTATCAGCAGTCTCCTACAAGCAGCTCTCAGGCTCTGGGAAGTGAACATTTAATCTCTGGCAGCAGCAGTGACTGCAGTGGTGAGTGTGAGGAGCCTGATTTGAGGATGTGCACTAGAGTACAGAACCTATGCTGCTAGTATGGACAGGACTGGCACAGGGAGTCTCCAGTTCCGGGTTGCACTTGTTTCAGCTCCCTGCTGTAGGAGTGGCTTCAGCATTGTGCAGAAAGTGGAGATGAGGATCCCACCCTCTATTGGTGACCAGAGCACTTGACCATACTGTCAGGGGGGCAGGGTCATCACCCACAGCCCAGACTTGCAGCTGTCAGACTTATTTGCTCTTGGGGCAGCAGCAGCAACAGCACCAGCAGAAGTGAGAAAGAATCCCACCCTCTGTGAGCGAGCTTTAACACAGGCCACACTGCCAGTGGGGGCATGGTTACAACTCACAGCCCCAGACAAGCAGCCCTCTCTTGCCCATCCAGCCCCTGGTGGCAGCAAGAGCAACTGCAGCTGCAGTGAAATGCAGAGGAGGAAAGAGATCCCATTCTCTCTATATAAGTCCAAGCACAGAGGCCACTCTGCCAGCAGGGGCGTGGTCACTCCTTCCAGCTCCAGTCCGACAGCTCTCAGACCTGCTTGTCTTGGCTCCCCGTGGCAAAAACTGCTATGGCACTGTGCACGTGTAGAAGAAAGATCCCACTCTCACTGTGAACCCAAGTACAATATGTGACACAGTTAGAGGTGGAGTCACTTATCAAAGCCCCGGACAGAAAGCTCTCCAGCTCTGGAAAGCATGTAATTTGGCTTCCTTTGTGCCCAGTGGCCGCCTCCTTGGTACGCTGTATCATTTTTTTTTTTTCCAGGGAGTAGTACTCTGTTGGACTAAAGTACTGGGGACCCCAAGCGTCTTTGAGCTCAGCCAGTGCTGCGCCTCTGTAGCCCTCTGGGTGGACACCAGGGGATATAAACAGAGGTTCCCAGGATGTGGCAATATGAGAGCTGTGGTTCCCAGAGCAGGATGCAGAATGGTGTTGGTTAGGCTCTCACAATGGTACCATGCTGTAGTCACTCAGATCTCAGGAGTGTGTGTGACCCAGTGCATTTTCTGTCTGGTACAATGCCCTCATTGGGTCTCCAGATCAACACCCACACTAGTCTTCGGGTTAGTGTGGGTAGAGGGGCTCTCCAATGGTTAGGATTGCGGCAGTCCACAGTGAGGATGTAAGCCAATGAGGGTCTCCCACTTACCCTTTCTCTTCAATAAGGAGCCCCTATGGGCTCCTAGCCAATCTCGGCCAAGCTAGCCACTTGCTTTCTTCCCCTTCTGTGTCTCAGATATTTCTCTGTTGAACTCCAGTGTTCTCTACTAGATGTTTTACCTGAAATGTGATAATCTATTTGGTTAAGTTTTGTTTCTTCTGTCTGGAGAAGGCAAGTGCCTGATGCCTCTAGTCAGCATCTTGAACCTGTCTCTACATTCAAGATATTTCTAATTTTTTGATGCAGATATTTATTGCTGTAAACTTCCTTCTTAGAACTTCTTTTGCTGTGTCCCATAGGTTTTGGTGTGTGGTATTTCCATTTTCATTTGTTTCAAGAAATTTTAAAATTTTTTCTTTGACTCATTTGTTGTTCAAGAGCATGTTGCTTAATTTCCATGTATTTGTACAGTTTTCAAAGTTCTTTCTGTTATTGATTTCTAGTTTTATTCCACTGTAGTCAGAAAAGATACTTTATATGTTTTTAATCCTTTTTAAATTTGTTTAGACTTGCTTTGTGGCCTAACTTATGAATGCTTTGTGGCCTAACTATCTCTCCAGGATAGATTATCCTGGGGAGAGTTACATTTGTGAATGAGAATAACATATATTCTGTTAGTTACTGGGTGGAATGTTCTGTAAATGTCTGTTAAGTTTATTTGCTCTAGAATGCAGTTTAACTTTGATCCTTCTTCATTGATTTTTGTCTAGAAGTTCTGTTTATTTCTAAAAGTGGAATTTTGAGGTCCCTTACTATTATTGTGTTGCTGTCTATCTCTCCCTTTAGATCAAATAATATTTGTTTTATATATTTGGGTGCTCCAGTGCTAGATGCATATATATTTGTTATTGTTATATCTTCTTCCTTAATATACTTCTTAATTATTACGTAATGGCCTTCTTTGTCTCTTTTATATTTTTTTATTTGAAGTCTATTTTATCTGAAATAAGTATAGTTACTTCTGCTTACTTTTGGTTTCCATTTGTATGGAACATCATTTTCCATCCCTTCATTGTCAGTCTGTGTGTGTCTTTACATATGAAGTGAGGTTCTTGTAGGCAGCAAATAATTGAGTCCTTTTTTAATCTGTTCAGTCAGTCTATATTTTTTAATTGGGGAAATTAACTTGTTTACACTGAAGGTTATTATTGACACTTGAAGACATACTCTCTGACTTTGTTCATTGTTTTCTGGTTGTTTCGTGTATCTTTTTTTTTCTTTCTTCCCTTCTCATTGTTTGTTTTGGTTGTTTTCTGTAGTGATAAACTTTGATTCCTTTCTCTTTTTCATTTGTGTATCTACTGTCATTTTTTTCCTTCTGATTAGTGTGGGGCTTATATTTTATTGAAATCTACCCATTACATGACCTTCTTTCATAAACTGTTTCTTCTCCTTTATTCCTCATTTTGGTTAATCAATTGCAATATATTTGAAACAAAGTCCAAGATATTAGATTTGCTAAGTAGCTCATAAGAACAACCTCCCTTTCTCATCTTTATGCTACATCTTTGTTGAGGTTTTCTATTATCTCTCACCTAAATTGTTGCTATGTTGGGCTTGGGGTTTTTTTGTTTTGGTTTGGTTTTTTTGGCTTAGCTTTCATTTTTTATTGTGAGGCCACCCTCCATACGCTACCACACTGATCTTTCTGAAATACAAATAACATGCTAACCATTTTCCTGTTTAAAATATTTTATTTATTCCCTTTCGCCTCTTGGATGAATTTAAAACTTCTTAGTGTGGCATAAAAGACTTTTAATACTATAACTCCAATTTTTCTAGTTTTCCCTATCATATCATTTTTCACTGTCTCCTCACCGAGAAGCTATGCTCCTTTTACATGCTTCTTGCTTTTCTCTCAATATGGCATAGCCCATTATAAAATAAAAATATTTATATTAGTATCTGGAAAATAATCCATCATTGCAAAATACTACAAATTTTTGAAAATGGACATTTTCAACTTATCTGAAGAGTAGTTTCCTTTCATTCTTAGTAGTTTCCCTTCATTTACAACTTTAGTATATTGAAAATTAACATTTAGAATTTTGATGATCCTCTATTTTGATGTTATTGTGAAACAACACAAAGTTCTAGCAAAAGACAAGGAAATTCATCCTCATCTCAGGTCCTTATTTCCCAGGAACCAGCATTGTTGTACTATTTCTACTTCACCAAATATATTCTAATTGGTAATTAGCCTTTCCAAGGAGATTTTGAATTCATTGAATCATCCAGTAACATATTGATAATGTCATTAAATCTGAGAAGTGTAATGATGATTTCCATGTCGCTAGTTAGCTGGTCAGCAAAAAAACAAATCCACGATTCTCATCTATAAGTTTCAATAGCAGTAATTACAATGTACTCATGATGGTTTAGGCAGCCATATATACCCTAGAAATAGGTAATGACAAATTTCACATACTTTCTATTTCTCAGTGAAATGTTATTGCCTTCCTTTACCACCTGGAATGTTTCTATTTACCTTTCAAGATCGGTCCAAATAAAGCTTTTGACATCAAGTCTATTTTCTTGATAAAGCTAGCTGATCAATCTCCTTGCTTCTCATAAAACTTGCAATATCTATCCTATTACACAGGTTCTATTTTTGGATTTTATGTTTGTCTTTTAAGTAGCATCTCAGTTACTTAAGGACATGGATTTTATGTCAACCATTTTAAAAATGACCAGCCCTTAGTACAGCGACTGCTGGGACAAAGGTGCTGAATAAATATTTGCAGCAATGATACTTTTTTCCTTCTCCTCCATACACATTCCCTGTCATTTCTGAGCTTTTTCCTGCTTCATAAATTTTTCAAAAATTAACTTGGCCTGGAGAGAAAATGTTGAGTACACCATTGCTATAGTGACAAGCTTCACCTATTTCCATGTGTGTTGCAGATTCCTCCATGTGAAAACACCCTCCACATAATGTACCATGAGTCTCAGAGAGGCACGAGAGATACGGATATTGCAAAGAGGCTGCAATATCCTTCACATCAGGATCTCAACTCCAAATGGAAAAAAAGTGTTCTGCAACCTCCACAATGTAAAATGAAAGTTAATGTATGGGAAATAAAGCCTCCTGATTTTAGCTACAAACTGTATACATCTTTGAGAATTCCAGAAAGACCATCAAAACCCATTAAGGAAGAAAAAAGGAGGAAAAAAATCAGTTTTCCAGAAACAATGCTTCACTTGCCCAGCATAAGGAATCATCCTAAGGAGGCCATAGCTCCTAAATTTGTAACTACATTTCCACGTTTGGATTCACAAAAAGCAAAGTTAATGTTTGTGAAGAGTGGACAGTATCCGAGGGGTGTATATGTCAATCCCAAACCACATGACTTTCGACAGGTACAAAAGAGCATTTGAATAAAAACAATTCAAGATAGATAAGAGGAACTATGTATTATTTTTTATTCATTTCTTAATGAGAAAAACTATTACATATAGGAAAAAGGTATGTGTATATAATGTGTATAATGCTGCCTTTTTTCCCTCACAGAACAATACAATTCACATTTAGCAATAAATGATAGAAGACAGAGGTAAGAACCTGGTTGATTCTGATGAGGTTTAATCTGCCAGGTCAAGTGGCCAACTCTGAGATGGGCTTTCTTAGGTTTCAGGAGAACACGTTGGGTTTAGATATGATTGGAGAACAGATGTCAGTTGCCAGAAGTTTATAACCTAGTAATAATAAAATAAATTTATGGAATAAATTGATGAATGAATGAAAATAGTTAAAAAGGGATATTCTATTATTTTGATGAATTCTTTGGATGATTAATAATTTAAATAATATATGGACAATAATTAGATTTATAATTTAAAAGGGTGATGAAGAATATGGAGATGCAAATAAGGTCAAATATTTATGCAAAACATAATTCCATTAAAATGTGAATATTCTATTCTTAGGTCTATAATTTAGCACATAAACATGATTTGCTAGGCAAAGAGATAAACAGTAGTACAGGATTTAGAAATAGTGAGATAAAAGAATAAGTGTATTCCAGTGAGAAAATACAGAATAGTAGTTAAGAGCATGGCTTCTAAGATCAGAGTATCCCTGTTCTTTTACTTTCTAATAACTTTAGACAAGATACTAAGCCTTTTTCATTATTTATAATGGTGTGTTAATAATGCTACATATTTTTTATGGTTATTTTACTTAATGAACGAAACAATATATGCAAAGCACAACGGAATCTGAAATGCTGAGGCATTCGATGAATGTTAACTCTATGAGCTATTAGGATAAAATTTGGAAAATCCAGGGAGCCATAGTCAATAACTCCCTTTACTTATTCAGAGCATCTACATATTTCCATTCATAGTAAATAACATATGTTACCTTTTGGAGATGAGGGAGGTCATTTAAATATTAAATGTTACTGGTTTATATAAATATTTTAGTAGGCCAGGAGCAGTGGCTCACACCTGTCATCCCAGCACTTTTGGCAGGCCACAGTGTGAGGATCATGAGGTCAGGAGTTCGAGACCAGCCTAACCAACATGGTGAAACCCCATCTCTACAAAAAATGCAAAAATTAGCCAGATGTGGTGGCATGTGCCTGTAATCCCAGTGACTCGGGAGGCTGAGGCAGGAGAATCGCTTGAACTCGGGAGGCAAAGGTTGCAGTGAGCCAAGATCTCACCTCTGCACTCCAGCTTGGGCGACAGAGTGAGACTCCATCTCAAAAAATAATAATAGTAAAATAAATAAATAAATATTTTACTAACAACAGACTTAAAAACTTGAGTAAATGAAATTCAAGGAATAAGGAACATTTTTATTTTAGCTGAATTAACTTGCTTCTATAAACGAGTGGATTGGAGGCAGAGTGTTACAAATTGTGTAACCACCAGATGTCAGTATTGTTACAAAGTAAACCTCAATGAAGACCTTTTTGAAATGAACTTGTTCTCATGTTGTATTCAATTAAAGCGTGAAAAATCTTGTATTAGATAATCTCCCTCTTTGGAACTTTTAATATTGTTCTATATACTTGTGGCAGGTAACTCATTAAGAAGATAACCTGTTTAACATCTGCTGCTTGGTACCCTCACTGTTTCGTGCCACGTTTACTTAGCTTTTGAGTAGAGACCTTTGTGATGTTTTATTTGATCAGTTCTTGGAGCAAACAAATTCTATTTCAGTTCAAATTGGTTCACTTAAACCACTAAAATATCTACTTTGTTTATAGCTTATAAAAAGACAATAGTAACTCTACTCCAGGCTTGACAAATTATTTAGCTTTGTTCAATGTTTTTGCTATGTTTCTGAAATAAGTTCAGCTCCAGAAAAATAATATGTAATTCTATGTGTCATAAATTATGATCAAGTTTAAGATTAGGTTGCCAAATTTTGAACAGACTCCCTTAATTCCACACTGCTTAAGATACTAATTCTGATCTCTTCACAAAAGGGTAATTGAAGTACTCCTCTCCACCACAAAAATGAATTGTTTATACACTAAATCTTAGATTATTTTTTCAAATTTTCATAAACAAGTTTTAAATGCTACATTTGAATGCCACAACAAAATTGTCAAAATTACATTTTGCCAAGGAAATATTTAATATTCGGAAAAATCAAATTCCAACAAGAAACAATATGTATTAGTAATATTGCAATCTTTTATTTACATATCTAGTACCAACCTGGTTTACCAAACTTTGAGACGACTTATGAAAAGGACCCCTTTGGATTAAAGTTTAAATCACAACCCTTAAGTACAGGTAAGCTGTTAAGATGTTATGTTTATTGAAAAAAAAAAAAAAACCTCTCTGCATTATATATTAGTAGTAGTACATGCATAGGCTTAAAACTAAATAGGTGGATATTATTATCACCTTTAATAATGTGGTAAATTTTTTAAATGCCCTTTTAATTATTTGCAACAATACATTTACTTTTCTACCACGACTGTTAATATATTATTAAAGATTATATTTGTAAGTCAATGTGTCATGTATAGAGAACAAATAGAGTGTAATGCTTAAGAGAATAAACTCTGGAGCCCAGCTGTGCAACTTTGAATCTTGGCTTCACTGCCCCAAATAACCTAAACTGTCTGTCTATTGGTGTTCTCATCTGGAAATGCAGATGATAACAACGGAATCTACATCACAGAATTACTGTGAGCATTAAATCTGCTAAAAGCACTTAGTAACGTATTAAAAAGCACATGGAAATAACATATACACATGCATGCTATAATTACTGTTATGGTGCCATTTGTTAAGTGTTAATTCAGAGTTAATTTGTATTATTTTACATTTCTTATTTGGATTAGGATGGATCACATCTGAATGCTATATTTACATATTATAATTATATATAAATTAAAACAAACAATAAGATGTTAACGGTGATTGTCTCTGGATAGTGAGATCACGGTTACATTTTATTTCCTCTTTTTCAAAATAAGGAGCAAATAATTTTATACCTGTAAAACAAGATAATTTATTTACAAATATTGTCCACATTTTACCATGTGTTATACTTACAAAAGTGTCATCTAGCTGTGTAATTAAAACGGAACATGTCAACTTTCCTAGTATATGCTATGTGTAACTCACTTTGGTAGAAAAAACCAAAGATACTTTATAAGACCCAGCCCCTGACCTCAAAAATACTTTAAGTAAAACATAAGATAGAATGCAAAATATACCATCCAATAGGAGATACTTTAGAAAGACGGGTCCAGAGAAATAAAACTTGGGATTGGAATTGGAGTTTGAAGAAAGACAAATTTAACTCCAGCGGGACTGGCAGAAAGAACAAGAAAAGTTTTGTTTAGATTTTCCTCTATAATTATCCAGCGACTTACCACTCCTGGGTCCTGATCTCCAAAACTGATACGATATCTGAGAAACATCATGAACAAAGACACGTCTTGTTGCTAAGCCTCTCATTTGTCTTCGTATCTCTAGTATATGGGTACCAATTACCAAAAGATGATAAACAGAAGAATACTACAAAAAGATTTATCACCCACAAGCATCGTGAATGCACCTGGGATTCAAAACTAATTTTGACAAAAGCCCCATGGCCTGTTAGATCTGCTTCATATACAGTGAGTTTGACTTTCTCTATAGCTGTTGGAAAATGTCTCCAGCACTGTTGTCGACAATTGCTTTAGTGCAGGAGTTTTTTATTTGTTGTAGTATAAAATATATTTCTGTCTTTAAAAATAAAGCATATAGCCGATGCTTTTTTTTTGAAATACAAATAGTGGATTATCTAGAATTTTGGATTTTCTTTTCTTTTCTTTCTAGATCCTGATAAAAGAATAAGTGTATTCTAGTGGGAAAATACAGAATATTAGTTAAGAGCATGGCTTCTGAGATCAGAGTATTCCTGTTCTTTTACTTTCTAATAACTTCAGACAAGATACTAAGTCTTTTTTCATTATTTATAATGTGGGTTATAATTTATAATTATAATAAATTATTATAAAAGCTAAAAGCACTTAGTAATGTATTAAAAAGCACATGGAAATAACATACACACATGCATGCTATAATTACTGTTATGGTACCATTTGTTAAGTGTTAATTCAGAGTTAATTTGTATTATTTTACATTTCTTATTTGGATTAGGAAGGATCACATCTGAATGCTATATTATAAATTAGCATTTCTAATAATGCTACATACTTTCTATGGTTATTTTAAGTAATAGCTATAGTAGAATAAGGTGTTGATGAAAGAGGCCAAACTCTGTAAAATATGTGAAGAGGTTTAGTCTGAGCCAAATTGATGACCATGACCTGTAACAAAGTCTCAGGAGGTTCTGAGAACATGTGGCCCGAGGTGGTTAGTTTACAGCTTGACTTTGTACATTTTAGGGAGACAGAAGTTACAGGCAAAGACATAAATCAATACATGTAAGGTATACATTTGTTTGGCCTGGAAATGAAGGACATCTCAAAGCTTGGAGGCTTCCAGGTCATAAGTAGATTTGATGCAGGGCGGGTAAGCCCCAAAACTGGGGCATAGCCGGGAACATTCTTGGCTTCACCCAAGAAAGAATTCAAGGGTGGGCCTGTGGTGTTAGATGGCATCTTCTATTGAGTACAGCAGCAGCAGAGGTACTGCTCCTTGTGAAGCAGGACTCCCCACAGGCAGCGCACTCCGCGCAGCAGCTCAGGGGCAGTTCTGCTGTCATATTTACACCCACTTTTAATTACACGCAAATTAAGGGGTGGGTTATCCAGAAATTCCTAGAAAAGAAGTGTTTCCTTCCAGATATTGCCACAGCAATGGTATACTGTCATGACACTGGTGGGGCTGTCTCATGGAGAAATGCTTTCAATGCCTCTTCCCTATTTCAACCAGTCTTCCATCTGGTCTGGAGTTGAGTCCCGCCTCCTACCTCAGATTCAAAGATTCCCCAATTGGCAATTGGCTGAAAGAGTTAAGCTGTGTCTGTTAAGTCAGCTTGAGTTAAGGTAAAGAGTAGGGGTTGTGGAAGTCAAGGTTCTTGTCATGTAATCGAAGACTCCAGGTAGCGGGCTTCAGAGACGATAGATGTGAAGGTCTCTTCTCAGACCTTAAAAGATATGAGACTGTCTGCAAAAGAGAGACAGCTTTGCAGGGCCATTTTGAAAGATGCCAAAAAAGTGTATTTTGGGGGTAAAATACTTTTATTTCCTCCAGGGCCTGCTATCTGTCATGTGATGCTACACTAGAGTCAGGTTGAAATTGGTATCTTATTGCTGCAAAGAGCTGTTTGTTTTGTTAGTTAGTCTTGAGATCTGTTTTAATGTTAATGCTGGTGAGTCGTGCCTGAGTTCCAAAGGGACGAGGGTATAATGAGCCATGTCCCACCTTCTCACCTTCTCTTCCCATCAGGGTCTGAACTTCTTTTTCAGGTTTCTTTGTGTCCCCTCATTCATGAAGGGGGTCCATTCATTTGATTAGGGGGCCTTAGAATTTTATTTTTGTTTTACAAAGGCTTAAATATTGTAAGAAATGTTTCCCAAATTTCCTCTTATCTCATTGGAAATCATGAGAAGTTTAGAGAATGACACTCACGTGAGAAGGCCTGAAAAGACAGCTCTGTGATACACTCATAGAAAAAAATGTTGAGAGCACATACTTTTATCCTGGCTGAAATTCTGCCCTAGTCACATAAGGATGCTTCCCTTTATGTCTAAGCAGAACGAGATGTGAATCTGGAATACAGATACACTTTTAAAGCAAAGATTATTAAATAGCAAATTTTAACAAGTAATTAAAGTTAATACATGTCTGCTTTTACTAACTTCCTTTGTACCACTTTCCTTCAGAGACATAGAAGGCAACGTGATGCGTACAGTGCATTTATGGATCGTGTGGAAGAAAAGTTTACAAAGATATTCAAGAGCAGGTGGGCAAAAAAATTAGGATTTGTTGTTAAATACTTACATTAACTCTTTAACATTACTATTCAATTTCTGTTTTAAATAAAACATATTTTATCATATAAGTGCTCTACCGTCATAGGAACTGTAGGTGAAATAGTTGCATGGTGCTTAACTGTTTTAAGTGGAGCCTGAAAAAATCCTGTCCCATTAACAATATATTTAAGAATTTCATTGCAACCTATTTCCTAGGTGCATAATCACCTCTCACAGCTCTCTTTATTCACATGTCAATGTCATCTCTGAGAAGTGGGGAGGAGGACAGATTAATGTAACAGAGTTTGGGCTTTGAGTTTGATGAAATAAGTTCAAATTAAGAGTAATCCACCTATAATTTGTGATCTTGGATGATTTGCTTAAATTTTCTGATCCTATTTTCTCAGGTTTTTGGAGAATTAAGATGACATATATAAACTGCTGGCACAGTTCCTCATATCTTCTTGATTCAATTATTACTATTATTAATGATAATATAGAGATATGGCCTTGCATGACCATGGAAAAGTAACATATTACCTGTGGCTTAGTTTTCTCATCTGTAGAATGACAGTAATAATAGTACCAACTTTGCAGAGTTACTATTGAAATGGCTGCATTGTCTGGGGAATTACCCATGGTTCATTGCCTGGCATTGAGAAAGAATTCAGGACACAGACACATGTGGGTGGGTTAAGGAGCAGAAAGATTAATAGAAGAAAGGAGAAAGGAGAGCAGCTCCTTTCCAGAGAGAGAGAAACGTTGGAAAAAGGGGAAGGCAGGCCTACTGCAGCAGATTTTATAGGCAGGTTGGAGGAGGCAGTGTCTGTTTTAAATACAGCCCACAGATTGATTTGATCAGATATGACATTTACATAGCCTAAGGGAAGGCTGGCCACTCCACCTTAATCTTATTATGCAAATGGACTCTCCACTTGACCAGTGGCCATCTTGTCTGCTCCTTACTGTACGGGTGGCTGGCAAAGGAAGGGATGATGGAGCCACCATTTTGAACATGCCTGGTCCCAGGTAGTTATTTCCTATGGAATTCACCTGTGGAAGCTTCTAGCTTGCTTGTCTGTGTCTGCAGCTCAATTTTACAGGCTGCTTTTTGTTAGGAAATGATTTGGGGCTGCTTTTCATTAAAAAGAAAAACCTGGCCAGGCATGGTGGCTCATGCCTGTAATTCCAACACTTTGGGAGGCCAAGGTGGGTAAATCACGAGGTCAGGAGTTTGAGAACAGCCTGACCAACATGGTGAAACCCTGTCTCTACTAAAAATACAAAAAATTAGCTGGTTGTAGTGTTGGACGCCTGTAATGCCAGCTACTCAGGTGGCTGAGGCAGGAGAATCGCTTGAACCTGGGAGGCAGAGGTTGCAGTGAGCCGAGATTGCGCCACTACACTCCAACCCGGGTGACAGAGTGAGACTCTGTCTCAAAAAATAGAAGAACCTTACCAAAGCCTCCCATACCCTATCTGCCTAAGTAATTTTTTCTTAACTCCTGTATCACTATGAATAATCGAAGTTTGTATTTGTGAAGCAATTGGAACATAGCACATGACACTTAGTAATTGCTATCTAAGTATTTTATGAATAACAATTCAAAAGTATGTATTTTTTGTGTACAAAATAACACATATATAATGCCTAGGGACTAATGAAGTCAAGAGCTTTCTGAAAGATGAGAGAGGCTACTCAGTAAGATTAATTTTCAGATTTTTATGAGGGAGTACACAGAGTGAACAGTCAGCAGACAGCTATCTTTAGGAGGACCACATGACAGATGAATATAAAAAGAGTAGATATGTGACCAGAAAGCTGTCGCCAAATGGACAAGAATTTGTTTTAAGTGGTGGGTACAGAGTCATCCTACTAATGATTTAGGATGTAGATTTATCCTTTCAAAGTTTACAAAATGGTTACTTTAAATTGCAAACATCCTGCTGTACATATATAAAATTCTTGTTTCCTGTAGCATAGTGGGAGCTTCTCCTCTATAATTGATGTGCTGGAGCTTGGTAACTGGTGGCTCAACATAAAAGAAAATGACATGGTAGTCCATCACCAAAAGTTTCTTTTGTTGTTGCTTTATTGTTTGTTTGTTTGTTTTTGAGATGGAGTCTCACTCTGTCACTCAGGCTGGAGTGGCGTGGTGTGATCTCGGCTTACAGCAACCTCCACCTCCCAGGTTCAAATGAATCTCCTGCCTCAGCCTCCCAAGTAGTTGGGATTACAGGTTCCCATCACCACATCTGCCTAATTTTTTATTTTTAGTAGAGATGGGGTTTCGCCATGTTGGCCAGGCTGAACTCAGGTGATCAACCTGCCTCGGCCTCCAAAAGTGCTGGGATTACAGGCGTGAGCCACAGCACCCAGCCACCAAAAGTTTCTTTTCTTTTTTTTTTCTTTGAAATGGAGTCTCATTCTGTTGCCCAGGCTGGAGTGCAGTGGCTCGATCTCAGTTCACTGCAAGCTTCACCTCCCCGGTTCACGCCATTCTCCTGCCTCAGCCTCCCGAGTAGCTGGGATTACAGGTGCCTGCCACCACGCCTGGCTAAATTTTTGTGTTTTTAGTAGAGATGAGGTTTCACTGTGTTAGCCAGGGTGGTCTCGATATCCTGACCTCGTGATCCACCTGACTTGGCCCCCACAAAGTGCTGGGATTACAGGTGTGAGCCACCGCGCTGGGCCCACAGCCACCAAAAGTTTCTTAAAGTGGTTACAGAAAATCATATATCATTACTGCTGCCTGTAACACTGTGAATTCATGGCCTCTAGCCTCAGTCAGAACTTCAACTTTCCTAGGTGTCACTGGGAAGCATACTTCAAAAGCAAATCTACCTCAGTATTTCACAGGCTTCTCAAAATAGAAATGTTTTCTTCTGAAGTTGTAGTTCCTCTTATTTTTTCATTTTTAAAAAATATTTGATATATTTAGCAAACAGATCCCTGTGAAGGTTCAAATAAAATGGCTTTATTTTTCTCAAATCATGAATTTTAAATATGCTGTGTTGGATCTCCCTCCCCTCAGCTTGAGAACAACTTTGGCAGAGTCTATAGATTTTCAATACTTCATTTGTACTAGCCCTGTCATTTCTGTAATTTAAACTCACATTCAGCCATGAAAAAGCTATGTAAGTCAATTTAAAATTTTTCTGTAATTTAAGATTATGTTCAGCCATGAAAAATTCAGGATAAGAAATATATATATAACTTGTATTTCACATCGTGCATAAAGAAAAAAATTCATGTGGATTACAGACCTAAATGTGAAAGGAAAATAATAACATTTCTGCAATACATTTGGAGAATTAAATGATATATTTAAAAGAACCATAAAAGCACTTTTAAAGAAAAAAAGTATTGAATGTTCTACTTGAACATTAAAACTACAAACTTCCATCAAAATACATCATTAGGAGAGTAAATAGGCAGACAGAGAGCTTAGAGAAAATATGTGCTACTCATATAAGCAAGAAAATGGTTTATATTAATAATATATAAAGAACTCATGCAAATAAATAAGAAATAAGCATGTAATTCAATGGAAAATAACAGGAGGCTGGGCATGGTGGTTCACTCCTGTAATTCCAACACTGGTAGGCCAAAGTGGGAGGAACTCTTGAGCCCAGGAGTCTGAGACCACCATGGACAACATTAGGAAATCCTGTCTCTACAAAACGTTTAAAAAATTAGCCAGATGTGGTGGTACACACCTGTGGTCCCAGCTACATGAGAGGCTGAGGCAGGAGATTTACTTGAGCCCAGAAGGTTGAGGCTGCACTGTTCCCTCCACTGCGTTCAAGCCTGGGTGACAGAGCAAGACCCTGTCTCAAAGAAAAGGAGGGAGAGAGGAAGGAAGGAAGAAAGGAAGGAAGGAAGGAAGGAAGGCAGGAAGGAAGGAAAGAAGGAAGGAAGGAAGGAAACAGACTTCATACAAGAAAATCTCTAAATGACAAAACATGAAAATGTGTTCATCTTCATGAGTAGTCAAGGAAACATGCAGTAAGATGCACAATGGACTACTATTGCACACCCACCGAAATAGCTAAAATAAAAAGATAAACAACAGGAAGCATAGGTGTATTCATCCATTTTCATGCTGCTGATTAAGACATAACCAAGACTGAGCAATTTACGAAAGAAAGAGGTTTATTGTACTTACAGTTCCACATGGCTAGGGAGACCTCACAATCATGGTGGAAGGCAAGGAGGAGCAAGCCACATCTTATGTGGATGGCAGGAGACAAAAAGAGGGCTTGTGCAGGGAAACTCTTGTGTTTAAAAACCATCAGATCTCATGAGACCCATTCACTATCACAAGAACAGCATGGGAAAGACCCATCCCCATGATTCAATTAGCTCCCACTGGGTCCTTCCCACAACATGTGGGAATTCAGGATAAGATTTGGGTGGAGACACAGCCAAACCATATCATTCCACCTCTGGCACCTCCCAAATCTCATGTCCTCACATTTCAAAACCAATCATGCCTTCCCAACAGTCCCCCAAAGTTTTAACTCATTTCAGCATTAACTCAAAAGTCTACAGTCCAACATCTCATCTGAAACAAAGCAAGTCCCTTCTGCTTATAAGGCTGTAAAATCAACAGCAAGTTAGTTACTTCCTAGATACAATGGGGGTACAGGCATTGGGTAAATACAGCAATTCCAAATGGGAGAAATTGGCCAAAACAAAAGGGATACATGCCCCATGCAAGTCTGAAATCCAGCACAGCAGTCAAACCTTGAAGCTCCAAATGATCTCCTTTGACTCCATGTTTCACATCCAGGTCACACTGACACAAGAGATGAGTTCCCATGGACTTGGGCAGTTCCACCCCTGTGGCTTTGCAGGATACAGCCTCCTTCCCAGCTGCCTTCATGGGCTGGTGTTAAGTGTCTGTGGCTTTTCCAGGCACACAGTGCAAGCTGTCAGTGGATCTACCATTCTGGGGTCTGTAGGACAGTGGCCCTCTTTTCAGAGCTCCAATAGTTGGTGCCCCAGTGGGGACTCTGTGTGGGGGCTCTGACAGCACATTACCCTTCTGCACTGCCTTAGCAGAGGTTCTCCATGAGGACCCCATCCCTACAGCAAACTTCTGCTTGGGCATCCAGATGTTTCCCTACGTCTTCTGAAATCTAGTCGGAGGTTCCCAAACCTCAGTTCTTGACTTCTGTGCACTTACAGGCTTAACACCATGTGGAAGCTGCCAAGGCTTGAGGCTTGCACACTCTGAAGTCATGGCCCGGGCTCTATGTTGGCCCTTTCCAGCCATGGCTGGAGCAGCTGGGACATAAGGCACCAAGTCCCTAGGCTGCACACAGCATGGTGACCCTGGGCCTGGCCCACAAAACCATTTCTTCCTCCTAGGCCTCTGGGCCTGTGATGGGAAGGGCTGCCACAAAGGTCTCAGAGACATTTCCCTCATTGTCTTGGGGCTTAACATTCAGTTCATCACTACTTATGCAGATTTCTGCAGCCAGGTTGAATTTCTCCTCAGAAAATGGGTTTTTCTTTTCTATCGCATTGTCAGGCTGCAAATTTTCTGAACTTTTATGCTTTGCTTCCCTTATAAAACTGAATGTCCTTAACAGCACCCAAGTCACGTCTTAAATGCTTAGCTGCTTAGAAATTTCTTCTGCCAGATGCCCTAAATTATCGCTCTCAAGTTCAAAGTTCCACAAATCTCTAGGCCAGGGGCAAAATGCTGCCAGTCTCTTGGCTAAAACATGACAAGAGTCACCTTTATTCCACTTCTCAACAAGTTCCTCATCTCCATCTGAGACCACCTCAGCCAGGACTTTATTGTTCGTATCGCTATCAGCACTTTGGTCAAAGCCATTCAACAAGTCTCTAGGAATTTCCAAGCTTTTGCACATTTTACTGTCTTCTTCTGAGCCCTCCAAACTGTTCCAACCCCTGCCTGTTAGCCAGTTCCAAAGTCACTTCCACATTTTCAGGTATCTGTTCAGCAACACCCCAGTCTACTGGTACCAGTTTACTGTATTAGTTCGTTTTCACACTGCTGATAAAGACATACCCAAGACTGAGCTATTTACAAAAGAAACAGGTTTATTGGACTTACAGTTCCACATGACGGGAGAGGCTTCACAATCATGGCAGAAGGTGAAAGGCACATCTCACATGCCAGCAGACAAGAGAACAGAGCTTGTGCAGGCAAACTCCCATTTTTAAAGCCATCAGACCTCGTGAGACTCATTCACTATTACAAGAACAGCACAGGAAAAACCTGCCCCCATAATTCAATACCCCCCCCACTGGGTTTCTCCAATGGCACATGGGAATTGTGGGAGTTACAATTCAAGATGAGATTTGGGTGGGGATACAGCCAAACCATATCAATAGGCAAAGGTGTAGAGCAATTAGAACTCCTATACACTGCTTGAGGGGGAAGAATTGGGACAAGTACTTTGGAAAAATATTTTGCAATATATTCTAAAGTTGAACGTATACATACATATAACCTATGACACAAAATTCCATTATAAATGCTGTATACTTAGCTGATATATACGATATATTTGTATGCACTAAAAGATATATATAGGAATGCTTATAGCAGAATTACTTGTGATAACCTTTACATTAGAGACAAGCCCAATGCCAATAAATAATAGAATGGATACATCAAGTGTGGTGTATTTATACAATAGATTATACAGCAAAGAAAATGAACAAAATGTTGCTATATACAAGTAATGGGGATGAGTTTCACAAACACACCTAGGAGTTTTTTAAAAGCCAGATGCTATATATATGTACAACATATATATATACACACATATCTGTACATACTGTATTATTATTCCATTTGTATAAAGGAAAACTCTTGTCTATGTGTAAGAAATCAGGATGTTGACTTCCTTTGGTTTGAAGGGAAGGAGTACAATAACCTTCTGGGTCCTGGAAATGTAGTATTTTCTGACCTTGATGTTGGTTACATGGATGCATTCACGTTGTGATACTCCATAGAAATATTTATTTAATATCTATGCACTATTACATGTATATGTAAAACTTTAATAATTTTTTTAATTGGGAGATTCTTTGTAATTGTTTTAAATTTCAAAAAGAAGGAAAGAAAGCCTCATTCATTCTAAATTAACATTCTAATCTCACATCCAATTCAAAATTTCTTTGCTGTTTTCAACAAAAGCCTGCCCTGTAGCTCCGGGATCTGGGGAAGAGAATGTTGTCTCTTGTTTCTCTCTTTCTGCACCTGTCTCAATCACACTCCATTGCTTCTTGGTCTGCCTTTTATCTCCAAGGTGTTGGTGTCCAGAGGAGAAATGGAAGAAACAGGGGCAAAAAGCCCAGGTAACAGAGACTACTGTAATCAGCCATGACATCCTCTGTGTGGCTGATGTCCAAATAGTGACTGGCTTGTGGAGGACATTTTTGCACATTATTCTCTGTGCTAGACAGAGGCCTCATTTGGCACAGTCTCTGAGAACAACATCCAGTAACTTGCCCTAAGTCCCTGCCTCAGCCCACTACCTCTTATAGGTCTGATAAGAGGCACCTTATCATCGGTGGGATTACTCACAAGATGGCTGGAACTCATCAATTTCATTAAATCAGTGTGTTTACAGAACCCTCCATAGAGCTCACCAAATGGTGTGAGTACAGAAGACCCCCGTTTTCCTTTCCCCTTTCCCTCACATTGTGAGCCACCTATTTTTGCATCTCTAGATAAGAAGTAGACAGGATGCTTTATAATCAAATGCACATCCTTAAAACCTCTTGGGGACATAATATGAAACCACTCCTCTACCAGGAGCTCCCAAAACATCTTGTACTAAAGGGCTCCACAGGTGGTCGTTGCAGTTCTGTAACTCAGCAAGCGTTCATCCAGAACAAGCCTGCTGGTTTCCTTCACTCATATGCACCCTTAATCTTTATAAATGATAATTCTGAGCATTCACAAATTGGCTTTGCAGGGATTACCTTATTTTTTCCTTTCTCACAGAAATCAGAAATGGGTATTCCTCAGGGCTTTCCCCCAAGGGTAATGATGCCTCCTTTAAAAAGCAAAGCCTTCAGGGTTGGGCCCAGTGGCTCACACCTGTAATCCCATCAGTTTGGGAGGCCAAGGCAGGCAGATCACGAGATCAGTAGGTCAAGACCATCCTGGCTAACACAATGAAACCCCGTCTCTACTAAAAATACAAAAAATTAGCCAGGCATGGTGATGGGTGCCTGTAGTCCCAGCCACTCAGGAGGCTGAGGCAGGAGAATGGCGTGAACCCTGGAGGCAGAGCTTGCAGTGAGCCGAGATTTCACCACTGCACTCCAGCCTGGGCAACAGAGTGAGACTCTGTCTTAAAAAAGAAAAAAAAAAAGCCTTCAGGTGTTTGATTGTTCAATTCCTTAATTTGTACTGAAGAGAGGGTGATAGTAGGTGGTCTGGCCTATTTACCTTTTAAAAAGCCCCATAGGGATAGAACTTCTAGCAGTTTCTTGATGGTGTTACCAAAACACCAGGGGTTTAGTCTAGGTCCTGCTGCTCACCACACAGAAAGGCAATCACTGAGACATGAGTATTGCCAAGGAAGAAGGCTTTAATCAGGTGCTGCAGTCAAGAAGATGGGAGCTCAGGCTCAAATCCATCTCTCTGACCAACTAAACCTATGGGTTTATATAACATTCTTCTATAGAAAGAAATGTAACAATATGTAAGAAAACAGAAACTAGGGAGGGGCAAGGATGCAATCATGATGAATGAGGGCTCCAGACTTCTCATTGTTAGGATGTCATGATCTGGTGAGTTTCAGTTCTTGGAAACCTTTTTAAGAGGCCTGAAGGTCCTTTCCTGAGGAAGGAACTCAGATAAAACAAATGTAAGCTTCAAGCTTTAAGACCAGAAAGGTCAATTTCTACGTGCATCAGAAAGAACAGTCTATGGGATTATTGGGTTGGTTTCAATGGAACATAGGAGTTTATATAAAGGAAAACTCTTATCCATGTATAAGAAATCAGGAAATTGACTTCCTTTGGTTTGAAGGAACCAACCTGTCTCCTAGTGTTAGCTTTGAGGCTTTTCCCCCATTTCAAGACAACAGGAAACACATCCCATTTCCACATCCTTTAAAAACTTGTAGTACTTCTCTAAAGGCGCTCCTACCTCCCCTCACCTAAGTGAGAAGCCTCATTGTAATGCTTCCCTGCACTATTCTACCCTACTGGTGCTAATACAGAAGGAAAAGTTGAATTGTGTAAGACAGGATGTATTTAGAAATCCTTAGTTTTTGCAGCATTTAATTGGCATTTATAAATCAAACTCAGTAATGTGCAATCATTTTCATAGGCATAACCTCACTCAATTGTCTTCAGACCATGCACTGTTTAGTCAGGTATTATTATTATTATTGGAGACAATTGTTATTGTTGTTATAATTTTATAAGCTTGGAAACTAAAGTCTTCACTGGGAACTTAATGTTAACATCACTTATTCAAGATGGCACTCCAAAACACCTTGTACTGTTGCCCTCAGTTGCATGTGGATGCTTTCTGATAAGTACGAAAAATACATTTGACTATTTGGCCAACAGAGTATAGTTCTACTTCCACATCATAGTTCTAGTCATGTTCCACCATTCTTTTTTGTTATCATGCCTTTATAAGCTTGGTTTTAGTTATTTCAATAGTGAATAAGAGGATTAAGCAAATGACATCTAGCATTTGCAGCCAAGTTTCTGATCTCAGGAGTGACCTATCAGGTAAGTCTCACCCTTTATAGAAGCTGATTCAGTGAATTCTGCTCACACATTTCTCTTTTGTTCATTTAGATAACTGATGGACCAAAACAGCATAGGGCTTCCTGAACTCTGTCCTGAATGTTCATCTCCCGTGCATTTCCCTGTGAGAACATGAATGAGTTCTGGCACCTTCCTGGATTCTGCGGAAATCTGCACTCTCTCAGAGGCTTGAGAAAGTGCTAAAACAACAAAGGAAAGTTGCATAATTTGAAATTCCCTTGTTACCACATGGATCAGAATCCAATCATCAGGCTTTTGATTTAGTCTGTGAAAGTTAGATCTTGCAACTATGAGTGGAAATGCTGATAATGTTGTGCTTTCTGTTAATGTCCAAAGTTAAAGAGATGCTGTAGTCTCAGGTAAAACTAATGTAAGACAAATAAACAACAATAATGCTTACTAATTTTGACTACCACGTTTCTCTAAGGCCAAAGATTGCAAATTTTATCTGTTTGTATCCTTCATAGAAATAAGAATTCTCTGGATATAGCATATATTCTACTAAAGGATGACTGTTACACTGTGTGGGAAAGTAATACTTAAAAATCAAATATTTTTACTTTAAAAAACACAGAACAAGGTAGCAACCACAGTTGAAGTCATTCAAATATAAATGGGGCACTTTCCCAGGAGATGTCATCCAAAGACAAAAAAAAAAAGGCAAGTTTAATTCATGACACAGTGAAGTTCTTCTATGGTTTAAATTGTTCCTAGAAATAGATTTTATTTCAGGAATCATTGGATGTCAGATGGTTAGTGATAGAGTTTATTTCTGAAAAAAAAAAGAGTATATGTATGAGCTTTGTGTTCACATATACAAGGTGGCATAGGCTGAAACAATCAACATTTACTTAGTATGTTTATGGTATATTGATATCAATATTTGAATCTTCATTTTTTCAGTTTTTTCTAATACACTTTAAGAAGCTTCTCTGAGACACTCCACTATATCAAAAGAGAGAAGATCTCCAAGTAACAGAAATACTAAATGTCCTTCTTAATGATCATCAGGCTTGGGGAACTTATAGTTCCAACTAGAAGGAAAGGTCTCTCTTTTAACATGTTAAAATACTTTTCTAAATTTTTGTTTAAACATTTTAAGGGAAAGAAAACAAATGACTTGAAACTTCTTTGTTTTTGATCAAGATTTGATGATTATAATTTAAAATTAATAAAAGGGGAGGGTAGGATTTAATACTATTGCCAGTTTTATCGAATGGATTATCCTATCACCTTTCCAATTTCAATATGAAAGCTACTGAAATAAAGGCAAGTGAGTATTTAATAGCTCTGTTTACATAAGCAACATTAAGTGGAAAGATGAGGCAATGAAATTAAATCATTTCCCAAAGGATATTTTGCATAATTTAAGTTCCCTGGAATTTTAATGTGTAATTCATGAAAAGAAATGTGCTCTTTAGAAAAATAAATGCAGCAAAACTGGATTAAATAAATCAGATACCTGAATTTACTCAGCTTATGTGACAAGAAAGGCTGAAATGCCCCAGGACTTAGTCCTAGGCCTGATCTCTTTCCTATCTATATACACTCTCTTGGTAATCGCATCTTTTTTTTTTTTTTTTTTTTTTAGAGACAGGGTCTTTCTTGCCCAGGCTGGAGTACAGTGACACAGTGGCCCATTGTAAACTCCTGGCTTTGATTCTCCCATCTCAGCCTCCTAATGTCATTCATTCCTATTGGTTTAAATGTCACCAATCAGATGTTCACACCCAAGACTTCCTAATATATATATATACCCAGTACTGAAATATCTTCCGAACTCCAGACTCTTTTAGTTGCTTACCTGGGACAACTTACTTGACATCTCCCCATGATCTCTTATTAGACATTCTCTCAAACTCACCAGATCCAAAATTTAACACTGATATTATTTGCCAATCCCTGCACAGTCTTATCTCAGTTAATAGCAATTCCATTCTTACACTTGCTAGGGCAAAAAATAAAAATAAAATGGAGACATCCTTTTTTTCATTTTTTTATCTCACAGCCTATAAGCTGTTATATCATGAGCCCAACACGTTTCTGCTGCCTCTAGTAAATACATCGGTCCAAACCCTGTCAGCTTTTGCCTTAATTATTACAATAGCCTCCGATCTACAGGTCCCCTGGAGGTGACACCCACCTCAGTCTATCCTCATCACAACAGCAGAGTTGTCTGTCTGACTTTTTTAAAATGCAATTTTTATCATATTATTCTTCTGCTTAGAACCCTCCAGTGTCTTTACATCTTAAGCCAAAGTTCTTCTAATGCCCTTCATTATGTAGTCCTGGTTATTTCTCTGTGCTCATCTCCAACTACCCTTCTCCAATCACTGGGCTTCTCCAACTAATAGAGAAACCTCATGAAAGAAAGGATTTTATCGTGTGTTCGCTGTTGTGTCCCAGTGCCAAGGAGAGTAGCTGATGTACAGTATATGCTCAGAAATAGTTTTCAACGAATGACTTCACTCAAATAGTCTGAGAGCTGTATAAAGTACAGATGACTTAGTTATTGATTCCCACTCCGGGGAGCCCACAAAAATCAAAGTCATCCACTAGCAGTTGAAGAGAACTAAGTTTGATTGCTAGGTAAGAACTAACTTTTATTTACAAATTACATACATCTGTGGAGTCATATGCACTTCCACTGTTTTGCATGTCAGGAATGTTAAAAGTTTAAGATTCTTGTTCATTGCACTTGAAGTGGAAATACCACCCCATGAGGTAAAAAATGAAACTTTTAAGGAAATACTTTCACTTAAATTATTGGTAAGTCTATGCCTTTTCATCAGAGCCAGACAAACATCAGCTTAACTTTAAGGCTTGCTGAGAACATTAATGATTAGCTGCTCAGAGCAGCATGAAATAAATAGCCTACATTAACATAAAACTGTAATATCTATGCTCACATCCTTGTAAACAATAGATAACAGGAATCTATAAACTTTTGGTTACGTTTATCTTTGTGTACTGTTCGTGAATTCTGGATTAAAAAGTGACTTTCAGAACAATATTAGACTATGTCATAGCTTGATTTAAGGAAAATATCATGCTGTTAGTTAACAGAAAACGGCAGTAAAAGCCAAGCTAATTTAATGTTATTATATGTTTGTAATATAATAAGGACTTACCTGCATCAAAGTATAATTTTTGGAAAGTAAGACTATAACTTTCATGTATATTATTTTTTGAAAATGAAATCTTTTAAGCCTTCTAAAATATCTGTTAAGCCGGGTACGGTGGCTCACGCCTGTAATCCCAACATTTTGGGAGGCCAAGACAGGCAGATCACTTGAGGTCAGGAATTCAAGACCAGCCTGGCTAACATGATGAAACCCGATTCTACTTAAAAGTACAAAAATCAGCTGGGCGTGGTGGCCTGTGCCTCTAAACCCAGCTACTCAGGAGGCTGAGGAGGACAACTGCTTGAACCTGGGAGATGGAGGTTGCAGTGAGCCGAGATCATGCCACTGCATTCCAGCCTGCACAACAGAGTGAGACTCTGTCTCAAAACAAACAAACAAACTAACTAACTAACTAACTAACATCTATTAAATCACTAACCTGAACACATAGAAAAGATTTATAATTCTTTAATGAGGGAATCAAGAAAATAAGAAAGGTGGATAAAGGGCCATTTTGAAGTTCTGGGTATTTGTACCCTTATTTAAAAAATGTTTTTATGGGCTTCCTAGGTTATTTACAAAGCTGCTTATCTTTCAAGACAATAAAATCATAACCGATGGAATTATCCTCTCTACCAGAGAGAAATCATTTGCATTCCTACCGGAATGAAATCTACCACATAACATATAATTTTACAGAGTCAGGAACTTAGTTAATGGCAAACAGTGAGTCATACAGAGCTGCATTCCTTTAAACCAGCACCATCAAATGGAAGTATAATTTAAGCCACTATGTGATTTGAAATTCTCTGTAGGTACATTAAAAAGTGAAAATAATTTTAACAAAAAAATTATGTAACTCAATATATCAAGAATATTCTCAGCCAGGTGCAGTGGCGCACGCCTGTAATCCCAACACTTTGGGAGGCTGAGGCGGGTGGATTACCTGAGGTCAGGGGTTCAAGACCAGCCTGGCCAACATGGTGAAACTCCAACTCTACTAAAAATACAAACATTAGCCAGTCATGGTGGCAGGTGCCTGTAGTCCCAGCTACCCTGGAGGCTGAGACAGGAGGATCACTTGAACTTGGGAGGCAGAGGTTCAGTGAGCCGAGATCTTGCCACTGCACTCCTGCCTGCGTGACAGAGCAAGACTCCGTCTCAAAGAGAAAAACAAACAAACAAACAAACAAAAAAAACCCTCATTTTAACATGTAATATAACAAATTATGAGGTATTTTACATTCTTATTTTCTACTGAGATTCTTTGTTCATTGTATTAAAAATGGAAATTGTATTTGTACTCCAAAATTTTACCCTTGAACCACATCTACTTCTGACTAGCCACATTTCAAGTGCTCAATAACCACATATGGTCAATGGCTACCATATCGGACAGTGTAGCTCTAAATAATTTGATATTAATTGGATGGGCTTATTAACCAGTTCCCCAGGTCCATGTTGAAAGGTCATGCTGTACTTCATTGGCCTTATCTCCAAGCGTTTGGTGATTTTTAAAAATATTTTCAACAACAAATTTTAGTCTTTTTCATTGGATCCCAGGATATTAGATGATAGTAAATACCTGTAGAATCTTTCTACAGCTTTATTTCATTTAGCAAAATAAATGTGTCTTTCAAAAAGTTATTTTGAAGACATTTTTGTCAATCAGGTATATTATGTTGCTTAAACTTTTAGTTAATGATTCTTTACATTATAATTGAACTCTTCTAACAATAACCATCATAGCACAGATAATAACTAAGATGTATTGAAGATTATTGTGAGACAGCTATTCTTAACTTATATATATTCATCATCTAATTTAATTCTCACAAAAACTCTCTAAAATAATATTACCATTTTAGAGACGGGGAGGTTAAGAGAGTTTACATAACTTGCCAAAGGCTACACAGCTTGTAAAGAAGACCTAGATATAAAATCCAGGCTTATTAACTACAAAGCCTGAGCTAGTAAGCACTATGCTATGTGCAGAGATTACTTCACCGTCAACTCTTCCAACCCACATCTATCAGATTTAAACATTTGCTATACAAATTAATATTAAAGTTGGGGCACAGTGGCTCATGCCTGTAATCCCAGCACTTTGGGAAGCTGAGATGGGAGGATCACGAGGTCAGGAGTTCAAGACCAGCCTGGCCAGCATGGTGAAACCCTGTCTCTACTAAAAAATACCAAAACATTAGACGGGTATGGTGGCATGCCCCTGTAGTCCCAGTTACTCGGGAGGCTGAGGCAGGAGAACTGCT